TGACCAGGCCCAACCCTAATGACTGCTAGGGCTTACGTGGCATAGTGAAGACCGGGACGTGGTCTTCGCCCTAGTCCAATTGCTCCTAGATCTCCGGAAAGTGGGTTTGACCTGCTCTTTCGGAGGTGGGCAGTTGGTTGATGACGTGTCCCCGCGGAGGGGAGCACGTGGAGAACGTGCACCGGGCACGTTGTTCTCCCCACGGAGGGGAGCTCGGGAGGTACCCCGGAGCGCGTTGTTCTCCTTGCGGAGGGGAGGAACCAAGACTGTGCTCTGGTGCGCCGGGGTAGGTTATGTTCGGCTGGTGAGAGGGGACGACGAGATGCTGTTGGATGCGCTGCTTGTGTCCGGCAGCATGCTCTGCTCGTCTTGCGGGACGCACGTGCCCGACGTGCCTGATTCGTCTGTTGGGTCGTACGTGGTATTGGGCCCGCCGAGGTCGGGCCCACACCGGAACACTTTTCAAACCAAAAAGCATAAATATTTTAAAAGGTCTCTATAGAGTATTATAGACGTTTCGGGTGCTAACACATTCCCATCGTGTAACCAACCCCTTACCCAAACTCTATTTATTTGTTCTTGTTTCAGAATTTGTTTAGGTTTTGTTTGCTCTTTTCCTTTCCTTTTGAATAAAATAAAAGTGCGGTGGCGACTCTTGCTTTATCAGTTGAGTTAATCAATAGTTTACACTCACAAATTTTACCGCTACACAAGTTATACAGGCTGCATAAAAAGCTCTATATGTACTCAAGCAAGCTCCAAAAGCTTGGAATATGAATATAGATAATTTCTTAAGGAAGAATGAATTATTGAAGTGCACAACTGATCATGGAGTATATGCCACAAGAAGTAGGAGTGAACTACTTATACTATGTCTCTATGTCAATGGCGTGTTGATAACAGGAAGCTACAAAAAGGAAATCGAAAACTTTAAAGGTGATTTGTGCAAGAAGTTTGAAATGTATGACCTAGGAAACATTTCATACTTCCTTTGTAGAGAAATCTACAAGAGTATTAGAGGCCTGGCGATGCATCCAAAAAGATATGCAAGTGAAATACTTAAAAGATTTTAGATGGAAGACTACAATGCAACTTTGACACCTGATAAACCAATACTATAACTGTCGAAGGACTTAGATGAAGATGATGTTGATATAACTCAGTATAGAAGACTCATTGAATCATTAGGATAACTTTATTACACAGGGCCTGATCTAGCATACAATGTAGGTATAGATAGTAGATTCATGCAGAAGTCAAAGGTATTAAATCTTGCAGCCACATAGAGGATACAAAGGTATCTCAAAGGAAATCTCGACTATGTCATTTTGTTTTCTACAGCAAATGAAAGAAAATAATGCAAACTAGTGGATTACACTTACTCAAATTAGTGGATCATCATCGAAAATAGGCCGAATCTGGACGAGACAATGAAAGAGTTATGTGAGGGCTTCAAGATTGAACACCATAACTCTTTATCATACCGTCTAAAGATGAATGACATTGTTGAAGCAACTAATAAGAACATCAAGAAAATCCTGCAGTAGATGGTGAAAACCTATGAGGATTGGTTATGTCTTTATTCATATCATTTTAGGCTTGGATTTAATTTGGGGAGGATCTATAAATTTTTAGGGTTTGAATGAGTTTTCTAGTTGAACTTCAATTGGAAACTGCGTTTGGTGGTGGTTTTCAATGCAGAGGTAGGAATTTGAGGCGATGGTTAGAGGTTTAAATTTGGTCAGAAAGTTGAGATGGAGAGAGAGTTGAGAGAGTGAGTAAAGAATAGAGAGAGAAAATTTGAGGAAATGAAACTCTCTCTTAGTGCATCCACATAGTCTCTCTATTTGCCACCAGTGATGCGCCAAGTGGCACTCCTACTAACCACCCATCTGTTTGATTAGGTCTAGTCAACCCTGGGATTTTGTGTGTGTAACCTAGCGTGTGTCTGCACCCTTGGCCCTTGGATCATCCGTTTGACTTATTTTGGTATGAAGATCATACGCATGTGAGTGACTCAACCTATCCAATGGACTTAGTTGAGTCACTTGTTGACTCCAAAGTTAAGTTTTTCTCATGAATAAAATGGGTTTTGACCCAATACGCTTTAGGTCCCCTGCACCCACATATCTCTTATGCACACCCCCTATTGATATGAGCTTATTAGCCCATTTGTTTAGTTTTTTTTTTGTTTTGTTTGATATTTGTTTTTATCTTATTTGTATTATTTTTATTTTCTGTTTTATTTATTTTTATAATTATTATTTCAATAATCATTTGTAAAAATAATATTATTGGACATTTTGTACTATTGTATTGCATTTTATTTATTTTATATGTAAATAGTTGTATGCATTAATGTAAATATTGTTTAATATTCCTTTTATTTATTTTAAATATAATTAACTAATAACTAAATTTTCTTTTAGCTTGACCTATTCAAAAACAAAAAAATTAATCAACCTATTCATTATAATCACCTTTTTATTTCAATTAATTTCCTCTAGTTTTAAATAAAAAAATTAAAAAAAAATGATTTTTCACCATAAGTTCATTTTCATTTTCAATTCAAAAACCATTTCACAATTACTTCGTAACACAAATCGAACTTCGATCAACATCGAGTGCATTTTCAAAAATAAAACAAAACATTTAATCACTGTCAAACATCTTTTCACAAACATGGATGAAAAGAAACATGGTGTATATCACGAGCTCCCGAGAGTTAGGATACGAGGTGTATATCTCGACCATCCTAATGATCATCATCCCTTAAAAAAACTCTTAATGAGATCGTTGTTGAAAATTATTTTTATAATAAATTGGATAAAAAAGGAATGTTGTGTGTATCATGAGCTCCTGAGGGTTCAAATGCGAGGTGTATATCTCAACCACCCGAATGTTCGTCGTCCAACTAAAATACCTAACTATATCTAAAACTTTCACAAATAAGATGAAAATGGAACGTAGTGTATGTCACGAGCTCCCGAGGGTTAGGATACAAGGTGTATATCTCAAACTGAAAGATGTCTCGCCTCGAGACGATGCAAAATAACACTTTGTCCACATATGTGTGAGTGAGATAAGTGACGTTTTCAAGCGAATATTGATATAGAAATCCATTATGTTGTCATGCAAACACCCTCTCCTCTAGCTATTTTGGATAACCAATGGTTTCCGTTCGATTGCGACAAAATAACTTTTGCTAAAATTAACCCACAAATAAACATTTTCCACACAGACCTACGTAGTTTTGAATTCTCCATCGACCCGAAGATACGTATGAGCAAGACTTACAATCTTGTCAGACACATTAATAAAAAACTTTTTGCGACCCTTTTCTTTTTCTCTTTGATTTTTTTTAATAACTCGAGGAAAACAAATTTTTTTGAGCTAACACTTATGCGCAAAACTAACTAAATGGTTCCCGTTAAGTACAACAGATGTGAGGGGTGCTAATACCTTCCCTTTGCATAATCGACTTCCAAACACGATTTGATTGCGATAGCCATATCCTTGTCATTATTTAAAGGGTTTTACTGATATTTTCCCTTTTCCATTTTTGGAATAAATAAAGTTCGATGACGAGTCTGTTTGACACTCGCGAATGTGCGTTGCACTCGTAAGGTCACATTTTTTGAGATGTGACAGATGTGAAGAAAGCAATTTGACTCTGAATTGGGAGAAATGTCATTTCATGGTTAAAGAAGGATTTTTTTTGGGAAAAAAGTTTTATAGGATATGATTGGAGGTGGATCAAGCAAAGATTAAAGTTTTGAGAAACTGCCTCCACCTGTTAACATTAAAGGAATAAAAAGTTTCCTTGGTCATGTTGAATTTTATAGAAGATTCATTAAAGACTTCTCTAAAATAACAAAGCCACAGTGCCAACTGCTGTAGCATGACGTGCCATACGTCTTTAGTGAAGAGTGTGCGAAGGCGTTCAATATGTTGAAACAAGCCTTAATTTCAACACCTATTTATGAAAACTCCTAACTAGATTATGCCATTTGAACTTATGTGTGATGCTAGTGACTTTGCTATTGGAATTATGTTGGGTAAAGACATGACAAGGTGTTCCACACCATTTACTATGCTATTGGAACTTATGTATCATTATCTTTATCATAACACAATCTATCTCATATAATTTATAGAACATTTTGAACAAGGTCACTACCATCCCACATGTCTTCTTATTTTTATTTTTTTACAAAAAACATGTATTTTTTTTATAGACGAAAGTTTAAGTGAGTTGGGTTCCGAAGATCTACTAGATTCATGCCGCCTAAAGGTTCAAAGAACGTTTATAGATGTATTTACAGGTCACCCATAAAAGAAACCCTCACATTGATAATAAAAATTAAACTCTTAATCTATCGATGTGTGAGTCAATTCCTTACTACCTATTTATGAATTTACTTGACAACGAACATGTCTCTCAATTATATCACATTTTATCCCAATTAAGACAAATTAAAACTAATAAAAAATATGTTTGAAACAAATATATCTAAAAACTTGTAGAGACTTCTATTCTAAATGAGAAATAAACATTTAAAAAGAATCTTATAATAATTAGAAAACATATTTAATTTTAAGAAGTGTCTTTAGTGCACATCATTTTCAAAAACAAAAGCAAAAAGATATTACTAAAACCTTTGTAGCAGAAATTGAGAAATTGACTCCTATTTATTTATGAGCTTATTCCTCACTCGTCTTTCCAGCTTGAACTTTTGGACGTTTCCGAATACTGACGTGTGAAATCGATGAAACGAAAAATTAAATAAAATAAAAAAGAGAAAAAAAAAAGGAAAATAAATGAATGGAGGAAGAGAAATGCATTGGTTACACTTTTACCCTTTGTTGGTAGGGTGAAAATTCGTGATCGCATTCTTCTTCTTCCTGTGGTTGTTTCTTCCTTCCTTCTCTCTCTCTCTCTCTCTCACTGTCTCACTTCCTCAACCAAAACCCTAATCCTTTCTCATCACAATCAAATCATGGACGCTGATTCCTCTTGGACTGCTCGTCTCTCTTCCGCATCCAGACGTTATCAAGCCGCTCTTCAATCTCGATCAGGTCCGTCTTCTCCCGCTTTTCGTGTTTCCCCAATTTCTCAAACCGAAATTCAATTTTCTCAAATTGTTTAGCTTCGTAGATAGTAGCTCAGTTAGAACGTACGGCAAAGTTATATTGATATCGGATTCTGAATTTTTTGATTATATTCTGAGAATTGATTTGAAATTGAATACACACGAGGAAAAATTGCTATGGTTGTGGATTATGTTTGGAAGATGTTTTCAGCTGATGATTATTACTTTTTGAAGTTATTTATGTGCTTTGGTTGTTACTGGGAATAGAAACGAGAATTGTATGAAATTGGAAGTAATGATAATTGGGATTTGTTATTACCAGAGACTGTGATCTATTAGTGGAGTTGTAAATTATATGGCTTTACTTAATAGAAGCTTTTTTCTGAAACGGGATGTTTGTTTCTGTACAAGTATTTATGCTTAATGATTTGAGGTTGTGCAAATGTAGATATGTTCATGGGTTTTGATGAAAACGATGTGGAAGAAGATATAAGGGAAGAGTTTCTGTGTCCGTTTTGTTCTGAGTATTTTGATATTGTTGGGTTGTGCTGCCATATTGATGAAGAGCATCCAATGGAGGCAAAAAATGGGGTATGTAGGGCTACTTTTGTTTGTTTTTCTTCTGTTATTTTTTTTTCAAACAGCTTACAAGGTTTTTCAGTATTGTCTCTTTAAGACATGCTTAATTAGTCCAGAGCCTTAAAGTTTTTGTTCATCACTATGCGTCTTTCCCTGTTTATTTCATATAGGTGAAATCAGTATTATATTTTTACATTGGAAAAATGTTAAATGTATTTTTTTTCAATAGTTTTTATGGATTAAAACATTTCTGCGTGCAGGTATGTCCAGTTTGTGCATTGAGGGTGGGGGTTGATATGGTTGCTCACATAACCTTACAACATGGAAATATATTTAAGATATCCTTTTTTTCTCCTCAAGTTCTATTTGCTTCTGCCAATTCTTAAATGAATTTTAACATTAAGGTTGCAGATTTTTTACAATATGGAACATGTTGCCATAAAGTTTACTTATTTTAAGGTTGATCAATATTAAGATAAACATGATTTTATGTTCAAACAATACTCTATTACTTGGCTGAATTCCTTAACAAGGGAATACATGCAGCGCAAGAGGAAATCACGTAAAGGTGGATCTTATTCAACACTTTCTTTATTGAGGAAGGAGCTGAGAGAAGGAAATTTGCAATCCCTTTTTGGTGGGTCTCCATGTTTAGTGTCCTCGTCTAATGCAGCACCTGATCCGCTGCTGTCGTCATTCATATTGCCTTTAAGTAATGAATCGATGAGTTCTCAGTCTCACACACAAACTGAGATTAGATCATCCAAGAAAAGCTCAGATGAGACTGTACCAAAAAGGTATTTCTTTTCAATTTTCAAGTTCTGTAACAGATTAATCTCCCCACTTCACAGAATTCTGCTCAATATTGCACAAGTCTTTCTGAATGAGTTGATATGTGATACTGTGCCCATCTATTGTTTCTCATGCAAGAATACTATATATTGTTTATATGTAAATGAAATGTTCAAGAAATTGGTAGGTTTTATTCTACTATTGCAATATTTTTATGAGATTGTATTCATTGTTATGATTTTCTTCCTACTTATCATTTCTCTCTCACACCAGAGTTCTGAAAAGCTTTATTTCACTGTTTTGGAACAAATGTTTGAAACTGGAAAAAGGGAAGACATTTGACAGTTTTCCAATTCAAAGTGAAAACAAGATGAGAACAGAAAACATTTCCTCAAACTTAACAGAATTTAAAAGACTTGTTTTCTCACTGTTAGTACCAACTTTGTGAAGCTGGCATGTTTAATTTATCTGAATTTTGTTAAAGGCTTGTGGCTTCCAACTTTTTCAATTGAGTAATTTATTTGCTTTGTATAAATATTGTTTTTCCTGATTATTTTGTCATTAATGTTTGTACATTTGTAACCTTTCACATCTCCTATCAATTTAGTGCCTTGTTGCAAAGAATGTCTCGTTCCTTGCTAAGAGCACAGTTTTCGAACAATATTGTGCACAGTGCCAGTGGCATGGGTTCTATTGTCTCCTGGTTTCTAACAAGTCTACCTTTTCTGTTCAGCCATGTGGAGACACCAACCATGTCAGTTAAAGATAAGGAGGAGAAGACGAAAAGATGTGAGTTTATTCAAGGGCTGTTGATGTCCACCATACTTGATGACAATTTATGAAAAGAAATTCATCAAGATGTAATGCTTCAGTGGCCCTCTAATTCACAGATGCAATCTGCAATCTATGGTTTGTTTCCTGAAGTTGTCTATGTATGTATTCCGAGTGGAATAATAAAGTAGTAAATTAATGTAATCTATGTTGGATGTGTACTGATGTTTTTAGTTGAAGAGTTTCATATGGCATCCTTATTTCAGATCGTAAGGCTTAAAGAAATAGATAAAGTTCCATTCTATGCTTCTGGCTTGTACAAAATAAACACACTAGAAATTTCAAGATATGAAAATTTCATGTCTGATATGTGAGAAAATTTTAGGTACAACGCACCTAATGTATTATCTTTGCATGATGGGTCTGCTGAGCATAGAATGAAAGCTTCTACACTTTAAATTTACTAAGGCTAACTAATTGAATTTAAAACACGTGTAGGATCTGGGTAAGAGACCCATCTTTCTCATGATTATTATCTCAAAGAAAAGATGAGTGATTGATTACCTGGGTAAGAGACTATCATGAGCGATTTTATTAGAGCATTCATTGCCAATTGAGTGCCAAGGGTTTTGTTACTCTGAGCTCCTTTTTGCATCAATCCAAACAAAACCATAGCACACAATATATATGGACTTTTCTGAATATCTCATTCTATTGTAAAGCTGCCGTTATTAACAAGCACTAATAATAGTATGTTTATTTGCAGAACAAATGTTTATCTATATAGTCACTTACGTATAGGTTTTTACACAAGTTATTTATGTAGTATAAAACAATATTAAATTATTTTTGTATAAAAATGTCAAACTGTTTTTGTAGATTCGACTAATTATAAAATTTATGTTTATAGATAAGTTTGGGTAAATGAATCCAAACAACCTTGAAAAAAATTATTTTAAGACAATCAATAACTATACGGCCAAGTTTATTAAATACTTGCATTTATACGCTAAATACTTGCATTTATACGCATGTAAACATTACTGATAATAAAAATTGGTCGATTCATATGAATTTTTCTTTTGTAATCAGGAAAAAATATGGACTTTCCTTTTTTATGATTTCTATACCTAAATAAAAAGAAAAAATTTAAGTAAATATCTAATTTTATGATCATTTTATATTAATGCAGTTAAATTTATTAAATATTTAAATGTATTGATGTTAATAAATTAGTTTTTCAACTATAACTCAAGGATTGGTTATAACCTATGAGCATGTTTTTTTTAGCTACCAGTCAACTTTTCAACTATAATTAGATTACGAATTATAACTCTTTTCATCTTATTTATTTATTTTATGGGTGAAATTATGAATTTTTGTAATAAAAGAGGGAAAAAGGCTCAAGTGTTTACAGATTTTAATGCAAAATATTTACAATTTACAGTATGAAGTGTTTTAAATATAAACCACCGAGCGAGTTGCCGAAAGACTCGGAAGCAAGTTCGGTGCAGCTTTTTCACGTCAATATTAGAAACAACAAAACTAGAGGGAAAAAAAAAACCGAGGGAAACTGAGAGAGAAAGAAAAAAAAATTCAAAAACCATTTTCTTTCTCCAATTCCTTGCCTTTCTTTCTCCTTCTTTCACACAGAAAGAAAGGCTCTCTCAGAATCCAATGTCTGCATCTTCATTATTATTTTTCTCATTCTCATGAGCATTTCGTTACAAAATAATATTTTTCTCTTTTCTTGCTAAAAAGAATTATCACGAACGGTGTTTCATTAATTCTTCCCAAGAATTAATCGTTTTTTAATCTTGAATTATTTCATTTTGAATTTTCGTTTTTCGAAAGTGTTGAGGCCCGAGTAATGGCGACAGAGCCAGCTTTGCCATTCTCAATTGTATCCGTTGTCGAAGACGTTATTCAAAAACATGGAAGTAGGTTAAGCGATATCAATTTGGCTACAAGAAAAGCTCAAGAAGCTTGTAAGTATCGCATTTCTTCGTTCTTCCATTCTTTCTCGATGGTATCATTCAATTCCGTTGTTAGTAACATTGATAGTACTTTGTGGGTTTGTGTGGTGTTGAATTGTAGCTTCAAGAAGGAATGAAGCAGCTGTGTGGCTGCGAAATACAGTTGGAAATGTTGGAGGAAAAGACATGGTGGATGAACCTTCTGAACAAGATTTCAGAATTGCACTGCGTAGTGGCATTATCCTTTGCAATGCTCTCAACAAAATTCAACCTGGAGCTGTTCCCAAGGTATATACCATCATGGGAGTTAGAATCCCGATTTACGATTTTACTTCATCTTCAATTTTAACTACTGTGTATATGGATACTATGTATATATATGATATAGATTCTGGCTAGTTATTGTCAATGTAGCACCTGCAATTCAGATTAATAACATGACTGGTGTTCGACACATAGTTTTGATTACTTCTTGTGTCTGGTATTTGTGTGTTTGTTGATGCTTTATAGATTATCATAATCGTTGGTTTGTGTGACAATCATTGTGTGTGTATGGTTAGGTAGTTGAAGCCCCAAGTGACATTGATGATATTCCTGATGGGGCAGCATTATCTGTTTATCAATACTTTGAAAATGTAAGGAATTTTCTAGTAACTGTGCAGGAGATGGGGCTTCCAACATTTGAAGCTTCTGATTTGGAGGAGGTGCGCTATTATTGCTTAAGTGCGATAGAGTTCATGAAATTTTGGTACTTTGAAATCAATGTAATATTATTATCATTATTGTGATGTAACTTTATTCTGCTTTAACATGTTTTATTTCTTTTTTCAGGGAGGGCAATCATCAAGGATAGTGAATTGTGTCCTAGCTCTTAAATTGTATAGTGAATGGAAAATGGGAGGTAAAAATGGATTGTGGAAATATGGTGGGAATCCAAAACCACCTAGCTTTGAGAAACCAGTTGTGAGGAAACGCTCAGAACCATTTACGAGGTCTTTGTCAAGAGCTAAGTCAATAGGCGACAAAGATAATTGGCCGGGTGATCACTCTTTAAACAGTGATGCTGTACTGCATGATCACAGTGAAGGGGTAATTAGTTAGTGATCATTTTTGTTTTTTTTACACTAGCAATTTTTTTATTATCAAACCAAATCAGATGGTTCAACTAGTTGAACCGTGAGCTGACAGTCTATTTGAACCATGACTCGGAAGTCTTATTGGTTCAATGTGGGATTGGGTTTTTAAAACATTTGTTGTGAATGAGTGTACCATTTGTCCACGTCTATCTGAATAACTTTTTGAATTGATATCTGCAGAGTTCTATTCCTTCTGTGTATTCACTAGTTTGTGAAATTTTGCATGATAAGAAGCAAGAAGAAATTCCAATTGTAAGGATTATTGCTTATCATCAACTACACTATATATATGTTGCATAGCATTTGTGAAATTGTGAAATTGGAAGAGATTTTTTAGAATTTGCTCTTCACTAAAGAGTTAATTAATGTCTTTTGTCAGATAATGGAATCTCTGCTTAGTAAAGTCATGGAGGAGTTTGAAAGTCGCGTGCTCACCATACAACAACAAACAGTGTGTTCCAACCTCATATCAGTGAAACTGTTTAAAATAAAATTCCCCTGTGGGTGTGTTTTGCATGCATTCACATACATACACACCCAAAATTTGATCTATATGTCTTGCTAAATTTCTTGACAATTTTTATGATGGCAGGCTTTAACACCCCGAGAAGATAAGGCACCATCTAAAGCATTGAATTCAAATTTAAAATCTGTTGATGGTGATGAAGAGGTAAAATTTAGATTTCAAAAGAGACTTTCCAAAATAATGTTTCACAAATCACTATTTCTGCAACCCAACGTGTTCATTAATTGCTTAGTATTATGGTGCAACAACTTGAAATAACTTTTTGTCTCATAAATTATTTAAGATGGAAGAAAATGATGATGTAGAGCTCAAACAAAAGCAAAATCATGGTGTGAAGTACAATGACAGTGAAGAATCAAGTAGCCAGCTTTTGAAGTATCAAAACTGCCAAAACATAATTCGAAGGCAAAATGAAAACATCCAGGTAACTCATGCACGTAAAGCAATATATGCAGTAACTCAAGTTGCATACTGCATGAGTGTGGGATGAAATGATGGTGTATAAGGACCTTACTAGAGCTAGATTAATTCAGGAATGTAAAAGATTAAGTGACGAATTTGATACTGACAATCTTCAGGAATTGAAACTGATTGTTCATCAAACAAAAGAAGGAATGCACTGTCTACATAAAAAATACATGGAGGATTTCGTCTATCTAGCTAGGCATCTGAATAGCATAGATTCTGCTGCTTCAGGATATCAGAAAATTCTAGAAGAAAACCGCAAGTTATACAATCAGATGCAGGACTTGAAAGGTGGAACTCAATTTGTTATCAGTGTCTGATAATTAATTTCCTTAGTTTTCTGAATGAGACTAAATAGAAAAACTTTTTTACATGTTTGTAGGTAATATCAGGGTGTACTGTAGAGTTCGTCCCTTAGAAGGGCAACCAAACAATTGTGGCATTGTCGGTAATGTAGAAGAAGAAAGTATTTCACTCATAATGCCTTCTAAGAATGGAAAAGAGGTGAAGAAGATATTTACTTTTAACAAAGTGTTTGGTCCTTCTGCAACTCAAGGTAGGTTCTGTTGTCCTTTAAGGTTACTTTGTGCTGCCAAATATTCTACATAGAGACTAAAATGACCTCTTCAATTGACGCTTATACTTCTCATGTTTGCTTCATGGATGATGAATGCTCTTTATGTTTTACATGCAGGGGAGGTTTTCTCAGATACACAACCTCTGATTCGTTCAGTTTTGGATGGATACAATGTTTGTATATTTGCCTATGGCCAGACAGGCTCAGGAAAAACACACACAATGGTAAGACTAAGAGAACCAGACAATAATGCTGCCCCCTCTCTGTTTTGACTTTCTAAATTGTACGAATTGTTATAACTCCTTTAGTGATTCTTATTTGTTGATGTAGTCTGGACCAGACAATATTACCGAGGAAACAGTTGGTGTCAACTACCGCGCTTTGAGGGATC